TACTGGAAGTGCCAGGTTTGGTGATGCTACAGGTGCAGGAGGAGAGGTCCTTTGCTGGTGACCCATGAGCCCAGCTCTTGCCTGTAAATGTAGAAAGTGGGCAAGCTGTGTAACCCTCCCCAGCAGTAATATTGCATGTTGAGGTGTGGGGTGAAGCCAGGAGGCTGAGGTGGGTGAAGGTGAAGTGAGGATTTGCTCTGTTGGTGACAGGAGCCAAGGTGCCCTCAGTGGAGGGGGTTTGGAGCCCCTAGAGTGCAGATAGTTGATTGCAGAGGCTGGTTTTTGGCTTATACAGCAGATAAAAAGCAATGAATGATAATGGCAGTGTGGCTCCAGAAGGGCTCAGTGCGTTGTGCATAATAAATTAGATTAATTTCCTGTGTGGGATAGGACTGAGTTTTTCTTCTCCACCAGGCTTTGATATGTGGAGACTGAAATGATATGAAGAGATGACTCATCAAATTGTAATCTATTCATGGCTGGAGTAAGCTTAATGAATTGCCTTATTGGAAGAGCCAGGCACTCTTCAGTGCCATGGTGTTGATGTTCCTCTAACAATCCCAGCCTTTCCATTTCACAGAATCACAGAGTGGTGGGGTTGGAAGGGACCTCAGGAGATCATCCAGTCCAACCCCCCTGCCAAAGCAGGTTCCCTACATTTTTTTTTCACAGGAAAGTGTCCAGGTGGGTTCTGAACAAGAGCAGGGCTGTTACTGAGGTGATTCCTGCAACTGAAGGAGTTTAGTGTGAGGCTGAGGGTGGAGGAGGAGATCCTGTGGCAGTTCAGAGATCACGCTACAACTCAAGTGTAACACACAGATAACAGTGAAAAGGGAGACCATGCTTCCAGTAAAACCAGTGACCAGCTTTGGTAGCACGCCAGTTCTGCACCTTCTCCTCAAAAGCTAACCTCTGAGGAGAAGGTCCAAAGGAGATGACGTGCTGTGACCTTTAATTATGACCTGACTACGTGAATGCTGTTTGTGTCACACTCTTGCTTCCCGTGTTGTCAGAAATGGATGGAAATCAAACACTTAAAAGAAAACTGGGGCTTCAGTAGGTGGTCATGAAGTAGAACAATCATGATTTAGTCCTGGCCTCTGCTGTCAGTCTCCTTGGATGGTCTCATTAAAGTAGAGATGCTTTGTGAAGGTCTTCAGATGTAAGTGCATAGAGGAAAACACCAATTTACCTGAGAGTTCTGCTGCAGAGACCCGTTTCCCTGGGTGAAGGTGACTTAAAGGGAGTGGGATCATAGGAGCTGTGGCTAGCAATGCATGACTGCAGAGGACCTGTGAGGAGAGCAGTGACTTGAAATCCATCCAGGAGCAGCAGAACTTAGTTACCCAACACTGACTTCACCTCAGTTTCCCTCCTTGGCTGCTGTGAACACTGGGAGACTCCTTGCAACCTGGGAATGCTGGCCAGAGCTTCTCTCGCCTGCCAGCCTGAACCATGCGGTCACCAAAGGTTCCTTGTGATCCCCAAACCAGGAAGAACAGTCTTTGAGTGAAGTCCCTGTCACTTCTGAAGGGAAGAGAACAAAGGAGGAGGGATGACAGGAATGGTGCACAGGTTAGCAACGTGGTTTTTGGTGCACAGCTTGAACCAGCCGTCTTCAACATCTCCTGGTGTGGTGTTACCAGTTCATGGGCCCTCCTCACCTTTCCTGGAGCTGCCTCTGATGCTCACCTGCAGAGATGGCTGTGTGCTGTCTTCCTTGTGAAACTGCAGGGCTGTCTTGACATGTTCTCAAGTAGAGAAGGTCGGGAAAGTGTGTTGCCTTCATAAATAGTTCAGAAATGATGTGTGGGAGTGGGACCAGTGATAGCAGCCAAGGCATTTAGTGAACCGTATCTCCCAGGTTCTTGTCTTTACTCCCCATCCTTGCAGCCAATTGCTTAGACTTTCATCAGGGGCTGTTATTTCTGAATGCTCTGGGAGTTGCAGGCACCTGGCTGCCTTGTAGCTCCTGCAGTGCAGGAGCAGATGGGTGTGTGGGATCTGTCAGTGGCAGAGAAGGTCAGATTTTGGTCCACTACCCACATATAAATGTTTCAGGTAACTTGGAAAGCTCACATTTACGTCCGTGCTGCTCTGTAGTGACCAGGAGTTTCCTTTGTTGTCTGAAGGAACTGAACTGCAGTGCTGCAGGTCTTTGCTTTCACTGACTATTGATTTCTTACAGAAATACCACTCGGAGAGCAAGGGCACTGACCAGGTGGCAGAGACACAAGCTCAGATCGATGAACTTAAAGGCATCATGGTTCGAAACATAGGTACCTGCTTCCCTCTGGGCTGGAATGACAGTGACCAGGAGTGAAGCTGATGGTGGGGTGGCCTCTCTTCATAGAGTGAACTGATGAAGAAGGGGCTGGGGGAGCTCTGAGTTTGCATGGAGCTTGGCTGAGGGTGGCACACGGGCATGAGGAACGTTGCTTGAGGTGAAGTCACACAGCTCGCGATGGGGTGAAGGATTTGGTCTGTGGTTTTCCTGCAGCTGTGCTGAGGAAAATGCTCCTCAGTAGCTTACACGGGGGGTTTTTTGTGAGTCAGACTCTGGTTTGAGTTTTAACAAGTCTGAACCACTTCAAATAGAAGGTTAGATCTGGAATTGACCAAAAGGGAGGCAGGTCAGTCCCAAAAGGTGGCCTGTGTGATGAGGCTGTTCCTCAGGTACTGCTGCCAGGCGGTCTCTGAAAGGCTGAGAACTACTCGGTGTCTGATGAGCCGCTGCCGGGAGCTCCTGGCTGCAGTTGGGCTCGGGTATTGGAAGCAGCTTTTTGCACTGGGATTCTACCTACAGATGTGGATGTTTGTCTCTTTCTCCAGACCTTGTGGCACAAAGAGGAGAGAAGCTGGAGTTGCTGATCGATAAAACAGAGAATCTTGTGGATTCGGTAAGTCTGGGGAAGAACTTAAAGATGGGGAAACGGTGTTACTGGATCAATTGTGCTCATCAGGGAGCAGTGGAGGTGAAGACCAGTGTCTAGAGCCACTTTTAACAGACACTGAAGCATCTAGATCTCCAGGTGATCCTTCCCTGTGTCAGATACAAGTCCTGTCTTACTCCAGCCCTCTCCTTACAGCTGTTTGACCAGCAGCATCCCAGCCTGGCAGCTCCATGAACACAGTGACAATATCCTGTGCACTTCTGTGTCTTGCCAGTACTGGTGGGATTTGTGGGTGACTGGTAAATACTTGGCTGCACCACTGGGCAAATGCTCTGCTCCCAAGGACCAGCTGCCCCATCCTCTTAAAGAACCATCTCCAACTTGCTCCTGTTGGCTACAATCAGTGCCCAGGCTGACACGCTGCCTGCACAAGCGCTGGTGTTTCTTGTCCTCATCTCTTGGGCCCCAGGTGGGGAAAACTCATTCGTTATCTGGAGTGACAGGACAAGAGGAAATGGCCTCAAGTTGCCCCAAGGGCAGTTGAGATGGGATGTGAGGAAGAATTTCTTTGCTGAAAGGGTTCTGAGGCATTGGAAGGGGTTGCCCAGGGCAGTGGTGGAGTCCCCATCCCTGGAGGGATTGAAGAGTTGTGTAGACACAGTGCTGAGGGACATGGGTTAGTCATAGGGGACTGGTCAGTGTTGGGTTCATGGTTGGACTCCATGAGCTTAAAGGGCTTTTCCAATCTAGGCCATTCTGGGAAATCTAAAGATTGTAATTAAAACTTCTCTTGCAGCCTGGTCTGAAGTCAGCTCGATGCAGATAAGCTGCAAACATGGGAATCTGTAGAGTTGTTCTAGTTTAGAACAGGGAAAGTGTAAGTAATTTTTTTTAAAGCTGTGTTTTTCTGCCTGAGTCTGTAAAAGACGCTGGAGCTTCGTGGCGTGTTTCTAAGTGAGCAAAGACTGAAAAAAACCCAAAATTTAATTAAACATTATGTCATCTAGTAAAGTGTCATACACTCTGGAAGGTTTTTTGTCTTTCCTCTGGGAATCCTTAGACCTGGCTCAGCTTCTCCCTCCAGTTCCTTCGGCACCTGACCCTCAGAAGTCAGCCCTGAACCCAGGACAATGCCAATATCTCCTGTATGGAGCTTGTGGAGATCCAAACATCTCTAAGCTGGGAAAAAGTATTTGTGCCTTAGAGAGGTAGTAGAGATGCCTGGAGCTTACCCCGTAGGGAATACTGTCCTCCAGGTAGGTATCCAGTGGTTAAACCTTCCTCAGGTGGTGGCAGGAAGTAGTCTGACCTCAGGTAATGCTTTAGATAGATGGACTGGAATTCCTTCAGCCATGACTCCACCAGCTCCCTGGGCAGCCTGTTCAGTGTCTGAGAACCTTTTCAGTGAAGAAATTCTTCCTCACATCCAATCTGAACCTCCCTTGGAGCAACTTGAGGCCATTTCCTCTTGTTCTATCACTAGTTACCTGGCAGAAAAGACCCACCCCCACCTCACTACACCCTCCTTTCAGGGAGTTGAATACCTCTTTTGGGTCATCTTGAAGACCTCTTTTGGGTGGTCTGAAGAAGCTGGTCATCAGAGTAGCTCTGTCCTCTGGAGAACTAATCTGGGCTGAGATGGGGTGTGCTGGTATCCAGCTGTCTCCTTCCACATGTAGAAACTGCCCAGCTGAGTGAGAGAAGTGCTCCCAAAGTTCAGATGGTGCTTGAGCGTGGGAATTGGCTTCAAGTCAAAATGCCAGTTCATAGAGATGCTGTTGTGCCCGGTGGAGCCTTTTCTGGGACAATCTGGGGAGTGGTTTGTGGGGAAAAGCTGAAAACGACCAGCAGAGCGTGCTGCTGAGTTGGCTTGTTCGGGTGCTGCCACCTTTCTCTGGGCAGGAGCCTCCTCACACCAGCCTTCCAGGGAAAGTGGGTTCAGATAGTTGCACTAACACAGCCTGGTGAGGGTTTGAGGTCGTTTGGTGGCCAAAACTTTTGCAGGAGACATGGAACAGAGATTCCCAAGCCTTCATCACACGCAGCAAGCCCAAATACCGGAGGAAAGCTCTGGCATGAAAGGGCTTGTCTGGCCCCTGTGGAACTGCTGTCAGGAGTAGCGAGATGGGTTGTCTCACTTTGGCAAGTGAATTTCCAGTAATGAAGTTGGTGATTAGATCAGTAGTTCCATGTTGGAG